GCCTCCGCTGCCGCCGCCGCCGCTACAGCCTGGGGGGAACCGGGCGGGGCCTAAGGGGCGGGGCATGCTAATAAGCCTACTGCATAATCATGAGTTCCAGCGAAAATGACAGTCTGGGTACACTGAAGGGGGAGGTAAGGCTAGGTAAAAGGCGGAGCTATGCTAATAGGGATTGAGGAACGACGTTCCCCGTGGAGGGGAATTCCTAGAAGGGCGGGGATATGCTAATGAGAGACAGAGACCTGTGCTCCCAGGGAGCGGCGCCACGCGCTCTGGGCTGGAGGGCCGTCTGGGGGCGGGGCTATGCTAATACAATCTCATTCTTTGGGCACACGGGTAGGAAAGATCGTTCTGGGCGGGGCTATGCAAATAAGGAGCTCCGTGAGGCCGCTTCTCAGGGCACCTCCCCAGGGCCTTGTTCTAGTAGGCGGGGCTGGCCGGCTCCCGCGCGGCCGTATATAGGCGCGCTCCAGGGAAGGAGCAGGTCCTGGGGGGAAGCTCCACCCCCGTCCTGGGATCCTGGCCAGACTCCCGACCCGGGCGTCCGGGCTGGATGTCGTAGTCTCCGCCCGCTAAGGGACCCAGGCTTCCGGTTCCCGCTGTCCCAACCAAGCGGAAGACAGACTGGGAGGGGAGTTGGGGCCCTGGAGGAGGACAGCCCAGTAACGGGACAGGGAGGGGCCGTGAGATCACTGCATTCCTAATCCATGAGCCAGCTCGCCCAGGCCGGGACGCCTGGGTCATGAAGGGCCTATAGCCAGGAAGTCTGGGTCTTTGGAGGAAGCTGACGGCCCAGACTCCTGGGTCCCTAGGAGAGAATGGGGCTCGAGGTCTGCATTCCTGTATCCCGGGGAGGAGGGATCTGGGGGTCCTTATTATGAGGACTATCCATGTCCCGTAAAGGAGGAAGCTGAGGGCCCAGCCAGACTTGGGTCCAGGAGTTGGAGGGGCTGGGGATCCGGAATTCTTGATCCCGAGGGAATTGAGGTGGGGAACCAGAACCCGTGTTCGTGTAAGGTACGAGCTTGAGACCAGGAATCGTCTGAGGGCCCAACTCCTGAATCTCAGGAAGGAGGAAGGCTCGGACTCCTGAGTCGCAGGGAGGAGGGAAATGGGAACCCGAAATCCTCTGCCGAGTGAAAGGAATAGGAATTTGGACTTTACTACCCTAAATAAGGAGGCTGTAGGGCCGGCCTTCTGGGTTCTAAATTTAGAGGGGACTAGGGGGGATCGAGATTCTGGGCTCCCCAGAATGTGGGCGGGGCAATTTGCAGTCAATCCAATTTTTTTTTTTCTACTGCACACACTGAACTACAATTCCCTTGCATCTGTCGGTCTAAAATGCTCTTTAGGTCACTTCCTGCACCTCAGCTCTTTCCGCGCGCGCAGGGCATTGTGGGGCTACATCGCGGGCTACCGCAACCCCGCCCACTTCACCTCTCACCTCCTTGCTGTCCCCGCGTGACGGAAGCGACGCGCGGACTACGCCTCCCGGCGTGCGTCGCGCGCACCCCTGCCCAGGCGCCCCGTTGACTGTTGGGAAACTGAGTCCGGAGCCTTCCCACCAGCCTTCACGGCACCGTGCACGGTACTTGAAGTCCCGGCAAGCTCGGCGGCGTTTTAACCCCGCCCCCTCTCCTCCTCTGCTC